TCTTCTGTTCCCCTGCAGCTGAGTCTCCAAGTTTTTGCTGTGCTTCAGTGGGTCTTTCATCCTTGGGACTTGGTGAGCCCCCAAAGGCCTCGGAGTCAGACAAACCTGGCTGTCGGTACTCTCCTTGCCCATGATCCCAAGGAGACAGAGTAGGATCTCTGGGGTCCTAGAAGGAGTCTGGGCTTGGGAGAGTCAGTCAGAGGGGAGGAAAGGGGTTAAACATTCAGGTTCTTTTAAAAATATTTTTATTTTATATATTTATTTGTGGGGTGGGCATGTCCCCAGCACTGCAAATATGTGCAGAACAGAGGACAGCTTGAAGTAATCATGTCTGTCGTTTCATTATATAAGACTGGGGGATCGAACTTGGGTCATCAGGCTTGGCAGCAAGCGCCTTTACTATCTCAGCCATCTTGCTCTGACACCTTGGTTCTTCTTTTTTTTTTTTTTGTAATTTTTTTATTAGTTCAAATTAGGTACAAGCTTGCTTCACATGGCAATCCCTTCTTCCTCTCCCTCCCCTTCCCCCAACCTCTCACCTGCCCTCCACCCCATCCACCCTCCACTCCCCAGGCGGCTCCCCAAAGTCCGGCTCCCCAAAGTCCGACACATTGGTTTTAGCATGCCTCTGTATCTTGTCCTTCAGCTCTGTTCTGCCTGGTGGCATTGGTCCTAGCCTCCTTAGGCCAGGCCTGGACCCTCATGGTCTTTTACCTGGCCTGGCTCTACAGAGACAGACACACACCCAGGATGGGGGGTCGCGGTTCTGCTTGGGTCCGGAACTGGGCAATCCAGAGGTATTTCCGAGACTACTTCCCCATCTCGGTGAGGATCCCAGACAGTGGGCTGGATTGATGGATGGGTGGGGTTTCAAGAGACAAATGCGGCTTTCCCTCTCCCACCTCCAAAGCTGTTCCTCTCTGGGAATCATGATAACATCCGTAACCTTTGCTCTCCAGCTGGTTAAAACGGCCGGGCTGGATCCATGCCAAAACTACCTTTTTGGTTTCCATCCTCACGGGGTCCTGGTTGTTGGGGCCTTCAGCAACTTCTGTACAGAGGCCACAGGCTTCTCTCGCCTCTTTCCGGGTCTCACATCACACCTGCTCATGCTGCCATGCTGGTTCCAAGTGCCTCTCTTCCGAGATTACATCATGACCAGTGGTAAGGAAACCCTTTTCAGGATCCCGGGCGCCGGGGTGAGGGTGGGGGTGGGGGTGCCTGTCTTCGCCTCTCTCTTGGTGGTGTCCAAGTATCCCAGCCTTTGCCCTCCTCACCCAGGGTTAGTCTCTCTTCCTATCTCTTGTCCCGCCCCGAGGGTGGCCAGGGGCTGTACTGCTGTGGGAGGCCCCCTGCAAGCTTTGGAGGCAAAGCCTGGGCAGTCACCGGCAGGGTGGATCCACCGGAGCTGCCCTGCAAGAGAGGAGCATGGAGCGCGGTACCCTCAGGCTCCAGTCAGCTTAATGCGTGTCTCTTCCTGCTCCTCCAGGGTTTCTCTCCTTTGGAGAGAATGAGCTCTTCTAGCAGTATCCCAACCCGCCAGGCTCCTGGGTGCGGAGGGTGCAGGAAGCTCTTCACGCGATGCTGAGTGTGGCCCTGCCTCTCTTTCATGGTTGCCTGGGTCTCCTGATACCCTTCCGTGTGCCCATCCACACCGTGGGTGAGTCATATGTCTCTCTCCTCTCCCACAAGGGGGACTGTTCCCTTAAAGTCTGATGTCTATCCTAGCTCTCTGGTCCACGAGTCCAAGCTGTCCGGCCTGATCCCCTGTTAGTGGGAGATTTAGGGACATCTTAACAGTCAAGTCTTCTCCCCTCCTGTTTCTTCTACAGTGGGTGCCCAATTCCAGTCCAGCGAAGCCCGAGGCCCAGCCAGGATCAGGTGGATCAGTTGCACCAGTTGTATGTATGTAGAGGGGCTCATACAGCTGTTTGAGGGATACAAGAAACGATTTAGTGTCCCTGCTGATCAACACCTTGTTCTCACCTAGGCATGTCCGTGTCCCTGTGTCCTGGCCTTCCTGACTGCAGGGGTTGGGGGTGGGGGATGGAATTAAATGTGGAAACAGACAAGAAGCATTTGTGTATTTTGTACAAGTTCAGGGGAGGGAGAGATGACCACAGGTCAGGGGACCCCATTGTTCCCACTGATTCTGGTAGTCTTGACCACTCCCAGGGACCTGATAACAGACTGCATTGCCAGTGCCTGCCAGCTTGTCTGGGTCCTCCAGCCCTGCCTGGCCTGTATGCTGGACATCAAAGTCTCAGGTCCCCACCCATGGGGCCCTGTGGGTCACTGGGTGGGTTGGCCAGCTGCTTCTTGCCTACTCCCTACCTTAATGCCTCAGTCACCAGGGAGGCCAGTGTTGTCTCTTCTGCACTCTGAGCTCCTCCCAGTAGCCTGCCCAGACTCATTGACCAAGGAAGTTCAAAGATCAGTTCAAGAAGGAGTCTAAAAAGTTCTGGGGCTCCAGGTCCAACATCTGATCATCCCAGAGGAGAACTGCTCCCTGTGAGATCACACTCCCAAACCTTCACCCTCTCCAGTTCCTGCGTCCTGGAGTCCTGGTGCAAAGGGAGGCCACTGGGACTGCTGTCCCATAGCCTCTGGCTTTCACCATGAAAACACAGCAGAAGCAACTGCTTGAAGTGATAGGCGCTTACCAATATGTGCTTACTTTTCTCTTCATGGGTAAGAGTGACTGGAGAGGCTTGGGAAGCAGGGCAGGCAGGGGGGCCCAGAGACAAGGAAGCTAGGGAAAGGACATTGGAGGCCATCTGTCTGCTCTGTTACCCCTGTGGGCTCCAGGTACCAGGAAAGGGCCAGAGGAGACCGCAGGGCTGCTCAGCAGGGGTGGAGGGGAGGGAACAGATTGTTTTGGTTGACTGCATGACAAAAGCTGAGTCATTTTCCCCTGTCACCCAGGCCTTTTCTGTACCCTTCTGGTCTTCTTGCTCCTTTTTACCCGGCTCTGGTCCTTCTCTTTCCTCTATTTGGTGTGGCTGTACCTGGACTGGAACACACCCATCCAAGGTAAGTCTTGGACATCAACCTCTGGTCATGAGACATGCTTTTCCATTGTCTGTGTGTTTGCACCCGAATGTGGGTTTTTTGTTTTTGTTTTTCTTTTTAAATGTGTGTGGGTGCAGGTATGTGGGTTCACCTGCTGCCTGTGGAGACTGGAGGTTGATTCTGTTACTCTTCCACCTTGATCACTGAAGCAGGGTCTCTCAATCAAACCTAGAGCACACTGATGTGGCTGTTTTTAGTAGCCAGCATGCTCTGGGGATTCCTGTTCCACCTTCTGAGGCTGGAATTACAGTGACTTTCATGCCCACTTGGCAGCTACATGAGTTCTGGGGATCTGAACTCTGGTTGTTTTGCTTGCCTGGCAAGTGCTTGACCCTTGGGCCATCTGCCTCTGGTCCAGAAGATACAGTTTTCCCAGGGAACCCTGTCATCCTGCCCCATCTCTCTGTGTGCAGGTGGAAGGCACAGCAGGTGGATGCGAAAGTGGACAGTTTGGAAACACCAAAGAGATTATTTCCCTATCAAGGTGCAAGTCCAAACTCTGGGAAGACCATCAGTCTCCTTCCTCTCTGCCACCTACTCACCTTCCTCCATGCTGGAGCCTGCACTGGATGTCTGAGATCAGGGATGGGATGTCTGAGCTCAGGGATGGGGTGATATGTGAGATGTGGTCCCTGTGCCTTTAACCCCATCTTAGGACCTTGAACTTGGGGGTAAAGGACGTTCTTCCCAGCGGTTATCTTGTATCTTCTTCTATTGTATTCTATCTTGTATCTTTTTTATTTGCTTTTTAAATTTAATATTTTTGAAGTTTACAGTTTACTTATTTGGAGGTGGGGAGGGGCCTGTGCATGCCTCCATTTGCCCTTAGCAGTCAGAATCCAGTTTTCTTCCACCATGGGGGTCCCAGGGATTAAACTCAGCGTGTGTGAACAGTCTCACCTGACCCTGCATTGTCTTCTGTGCCTCTTCCTCCCCACATCTCCCCAAACACCTCAAAGCTACTGAAAACGGCAGAGCTGCCAGCTGACCGGAACTACGTGCTGGGTGCCCACCCCCACGGGATAATGGCCACAGGAATCTTTTGTAATTTCTCCACTGACTGCAATGCCTTCTTCCAGCTCTTTCCTGGGCTTAAGCCTTGGGTAGCCACCCTGGCAGGAGTCTTCTATCTTCCTATCTATCGAGAATACCTCATGTTCAATGGTGAGCCTTATCCTAGCCTTGTGTCAGCTTGACACAGCCTAGAGCCATTCGAGAAGGGAGTCTCATTGAGGGATTTCCCAGATCAGGTCGGCCTGTGGATATGTCTGTGGGAGACCCGTCTCAATTATTAGTTGATGTAGAAAGACCCAGTGCACAGCGGGCAGCAGCATTCCCTGGACCTGTGTAAGAAGGTTAGCTAGGCATGACTCTGCAAATGAGCCTGTAAAGAAAATTCCTCCACAGTTTTTTCTTAAAGCTCCTGCTTGAGTTCCTGCACTGACTTCCCACAACGACGGACTGTAACCTATAAGCTGAAATAAACCCTTTACTCCCCTAAGTCACTTTTGGCCAGAGTAAACCCAGTAACAGAGACGAAAGTGCCCATGGATTACAGGGCATCCCCTCCATAACTAAAAAGATCCTCACGCAGCAAATCCCTACTTGGGTAAGAGAACCCGCTTGGGCATTGGTCCTACTCAGAGGGGGACCCCAAGTGTGTTGTACAGGATACAGGGAACAAAGAACAGGATGCCAGGCTCACTCTTTCTGTATGGAAGAGTGGAGGTGGGAGGGCCAGGGAGCTGGGGAGAGGTGGTGGCAGTGGCCCACTTTTGTCCACAGGGTTATGTCCTGTGAGTCGACAGAGTCTGGACTTCATTCTGTCACAGGCCCAGCTTGGCCAGGCAGTGACCATCCTGATTGGGGGTGCCCAGGAATCCCTGTATGCTGCTCCAGGGGAGCACCGCCTGGCACTGAGAACACGCAAAGGCTTTGTGCGACTGGCGCTAAGGCATGGGTGAGTGGAGCTGCAGATTCTTCACAGGTTGCTTTGTAACATGTAGCCCAGGCTGTCCTTGGACTCACTATGTAGCTGAGAATGACTTAAAACGCCTGATTCTCCTGCCTCCACCTCTTGAGTACTGGGATTACAATAAGTGTGTACCATCATGTCGGGGTTATATGTGCTGGGGAGGCAATCCAGGGCTTCATGCATGCCAGGTGAGTATTCTACCTGAGAGATAGAGAGATAGAGAAATATCTATAACACACACACACACACACACACACACACACACACACACATGGACAAAAGAGGGCATCACATCCCCTGTCTAGAGTTACAGGCAGCCAACTGTGAGTTGCTCAACACAGTGGTAACTCTGTAATAACAGCACATACTCTTAACTTCGTAGCCATCTTCCCAGCCCACACCTGGATTTTCAAAAATGTCTTTAATTTTATGTGCATGTGTGTTTGCCTGCCTGCACGTCTGTCCATGCGCTGTGTGTATGCAGTGCCCAAGGAGACCAGAAAAGGGCATTGGATCTCCTGCAATTGCAGTTAGAGACAGCTGTGGGGATACCATGTGGGTGCTGAGACTCGAATCCAGGTCTCTCCACCACCATCCTTTGCATCTGGGAATCAAACTCCGGTCTTTACCATTCCATAGCAAGCACTTCACTGTCTGGGCAATATCGCCAGATCCTCAGCCCTATCTCAATGCAATGGATGGCTTGGAGCCGGGTGTGGTGAGACAGAGCAGCCTGGGAGACTTAGGCAAGAGGAGACTACAACAAGCCTTTTTTCCCTCTCGCCATCCTTCCCAGGGCCTCCCTTGTGCCTGTGTATTCCTTTGGGGAGAATGATATCTACAGAACCAAGTCCTTTGACCAAAACTCCTGGCAGTATCGGTGCCAAGTTGCCTTCAAGAGACTTATGGGATTCTCCCCTTGCATCTTCTGGGGCCGTAGTCTCTTCTCAGCCGAATCCTGGGGTCTGGTACCATTTGCCCAGCCTATCACTACTGTGGGTGAGTGGAGGTCTCTGGGGAAGGGAGTTCCTGTCAGCTCCATTTGCAGCAGGAGAGCCTTCTCATCCGGTCTCCCCTCCCTGCAGTGGGCCGCCCTATCCATGTGCCCCAAAGCCTCACACCCACCGAAGACCACGTGGACCATTATCACCAACTCTACATGAAGGCTCTGGAACAACTGTTCGAAGACCACAAGGAGGCCCATGGTGTCCCTGCCTCCACCCACCTTACCTTCTACTAGACCTGAGACCCCGAACCCTGGGCCTGGAGACTTCCACCAAGGCATGCTCCACTCCTTCATAAATGCTAATTCTGCAGTGAACATGGCCAACCCCATCCCAAGGTGCTCCAGAGTGCCCTCCCTCCCCCAGTCGCGGTCTCTGCCCTGACCCTGAGTCTCTTCCCAGTGAATCTTGGCTGTTTTTTTGACCTCAGTTAAGTCATTACTCTATTTGCTTAAGTATTTACCAACATATGTTAATTATACACAACAGCACATCTCATGGGCCTGGAGAGATGGCTCAATAGTTAAAAGCACTTGTTGCTCTTGCAGAAGATCCAGGTTGGAATCCCAACACCCATATGGAGGCTCACAACCACCCGTAACTCTAGTTGCAAGGGATCCATTGTCCTCTTTTGACCTCCACAGGCACTAGGCAGGCACATGGTACACACACACATTCATGCAGGCAAACACTCATTCACATAAAATAAATGAATCTAAAACTCTCAACTACTGGGGTTTTTTGTTTGGTTGGTTAGTATTTGTTTTTCTGTGAAGCTCTGGCTGTCCTAGAACTCACTCTGTAGACCATGCTGACCTCAGAGACCTGCCTGTCTCCTGGGTGCTGGCATTAAAGGCATGCGCCACCACACCCAGCATCTATCAAAGTATGACATTTTCATGCATGTATACAATGTATTTGATCATACTCACACCCATGACCCTCTCTGGTCCTATTCCCTTCCTGTTTCCGACTGATCTGTCTTCTACTTTCCAGTCTTTTTGTTCATTTGTTTGTTTGTTTGCACTTAGGGATCCAGTGAGTTTCATCAGAATTATTTACACAAGTATGGTCACCTCACCCTCCCATAGCAAGCATTAAGCTTCACCCCATCCCCAAGGGTGATGGACATACTATGAAACTGCCCTCTAAGTCTGTGTGTCTCCATACCCATAGATCAGTGCAACTCCTAGACCTTATCAGAAAAGCTCCTTGTGGAGTGGACAATGGTTCAGGTAGAAACTTAACTAAACAAAGCACAGAGAACAAACATCAACTGAGTGCTCAGCCCTAATTAGGACACCATCTAGATGCAGGCACCATCTAGGTAGAGGGGAGCAGAAAGACTAAGAGTCAGAGGTCAGGGCAGACTGGAGTAAAACAGTGTCTTCTGGATGCAATAGGACCTTGCTCTCATAAACTCACACCAACTGGGTTTGCTGCACAAGGTCAAGCCAGTACTGCAGGGGGAGGAGCCACAAGACCCCTCCCCTAGCTGAGGAGCTCTGGATAGCTGAAGGCTTCTGGAGAAGAGAGAGACAGTTTTCACAAATTTGTGTATCTCTGCACAGAGGCCATGCTAACCTTCTCTGTATCATTCCAATTTTAGTATATGTGGTGCCAAAACGAGCACGAGGCAGTTTTAAGGGTATCGACCCTGGTGTAGACCTACTCCAGCAGATCTATCCATATTCATAAGTATATGGGTACCACAAACTGGAATCGCTGAGGTATGAAGAGAGAGAGAGAGAAAGGGGGGTTATATAATTGAAATATATTTATACATGTATAAAATCTCCCCCCAAATTAATAAAATAATATTATATTAAAAAAAGATATGGGGGCTGGAGAGATAGAGCAGCAGTTAAGAGCACTGGCTACTCTTCCAGAGGACCTGAGTTCAATTCCCAGCAACCACATGGTGGCTCCCAACCCCCTTGCATGAGATCTGGTGCCCTCTGTTGGCATGCGGGCAGAAGACTGTATGCATAATAAATAAAATCTAAAAAAAAAAAAAAATTCTACCAACATTAACAAAGAAACAATGATGTCACATTAATTTACATTGGAACCATGGTCCAAAATACATTTTACACTTCTAATCTTGTTGCTGCCTAGCAGGAACTTCTAGTGGGAGTTAGCATACAGTCTGTTCTTGATGAAGACAACACTGGACAGATGTTGCCTGATGTCTGGGTAATGCTGAATGTGGCAAAACCAGCGAAACACATTAAGATATTTCTCCTTTTCTTGAACTGTCAGGTCAACTATAAAGCGATGGAGCCCCGTAGTTCAGCAGGATATCTGCCAAGGTGATATTATATCTTGCACCAAGGTGATGTTATATCCTGCAAGGTAGACTTTATCCTCAAGATAGGAATTAAGATCCTTCAGCAGGGTGTGGGTGTCTTCTTTACTGGAGTGTCCATCCACTTGGGTGATCCTGTACTCCAACCACTGCTGAGCGATGGCCTTTTCTTCTGCAGTGCTCCCCAGCAAGTGCTCTTTACTGGCTTGTTTGACTAAATGGGTGGCAATGGTAGCCAATCCCGTTATACTTGGACCATTATTTGTTTGTAGAATTGGAATCTGTCAATCGCCCTGAGCCCTGTACTTATTCCCTGGGGCCTCAGTCCCAGAGACTTCTCCAGCAGCTTCAGCTCTGCCCCAGCCACCATCTTCTGGCCCAGCTCCTGCAAGAAATACATAAATCTTAATTTGAAACCAAAGGAAGCCTAAATGGATGCCTTAAAAATTGTGATGAGGGCTGGGCAGTGGCTCACACCTTTAATCCCAGCACTTGGGAGGTAGGGGCAGGTGGATGTAGACCAGCATGGTCTACAGAGTGAGTGCCAGGACAGCCTCCAAAGCAATACAGAGAAACCCCGTCTTGAAAACCCAAAAGAAAAGAAAAGATATAGGGTATTAAAATGGGGGATGGAGACAAAAGGAGAGTTAGTGGGAGTTCACTGACATGGTGACAGGCACAGGTAAAATGAGGGTTAAGACCTGATGCCTTAAGAGCCCTCATGTGGCCACAGTGGTCACAGCACCTTCCACTTTAACTCCACCTGTTTGTTCACAGACTTTGTGTTTGCATCTGGATGTAAAAAAATGAGAGCAACTTGTCAGCTGGGCATGATGACTCAGGCCCACAATCTCTCGGGATGCTGTGGCAGAAAGATTTCTTTAAGTAGGATGACAGCCTGAGCTACACAGTGAAATCCTGTCTCCAGAAATAACAATAACACCCATTTGTTTGAGTGTGATCAGACTGCAACTCTATTATGTCATCCACTGTAAAATGTATTCATGGAGGAAATTTTTATGTTGGTCCTCTTCAGATAGGACG